CCTGGGCTATTGTGACAACTCTAGACCTGCCTGCTTTTCGATGTAACCATGTGCAAAGCCTGTAAGATGCCAGATGAAACGTTCTACTGTGTCAAAGCACAAGAGAGCCAATGATCCTGTCTCTTGACTAGCTCCTGCAGCTTAGGGAGGTGTGTATAAACTCAAGATCGCGATGTTTTTGCAGCTTTACTTTCTCAATGACTTCAGCCTATTTAAAGGGACAGACTTGTTAAGACTGGTTTGTTCACCCAGCAGTGTCAGCGTAGCTTTACTCGTGTGTGCAGATCCATGGTACACCTGCCTGTGTTGCCTCACACTGTGTGTGATTCCTCACCTCAATGTGGTTTGCATCCCGTGGGAATCTTTGGTTGGGAACATGCTTAGTCCCTGTCAGCTGTGACAAGCCAGTTTTAATGCAGACTGCCATGGCCTTACTGTTCTGTACCACCTCTGGCACTGTTGCACAGACACTACAAGCTGCCTGCGTTCAGTCTGAAGTTGCATTTTAACTTTTTGTCCCCTTTCAGTTCTCTGAAGCATGATTTCAATTAATTCATACTCTGGTGCTGTAGAGGAGAGGGTAAATTATCTTGCTACTGTAGTCCCGAGTCCACCAGGAACTGCTACAGTTACCTTTATTTAGCAAACTTGCTTGTGCCTAAAATAAGGAACCTAAACTAGAATGTGTGAATCTTTGTGGGGGACCAGGTCACTGTTTAGTTAACTGGCCTATAGCTAAACTTGATGTGTTTGGTGTTTATATACTTCACTGCTTTCAGCGTTTATGGCATCCAAACACTACCAATTGTTAACCTGTGCATTACTCTCTGCATGTGAACAACTTATACAATTACTGAACTTTGTAAATACGTGAATTTTTTTATTTAGGTGGATGCATATGTTGGTTTACTGCTCTTCAGCTTTATTCAATAAACTTATGTTTTGAGGGTTGTATTGACACTTAACTGACTGACTTGAGTTGATGTGGCCAAACTCATGGAAATACATGATGGGATGTGTGTCTCCTCTCCCAGAGATGACAGCGGGGGAAGAAGGATTGGTAAATACCTGAGCTGATTTAGGTTCTGTGGCTCAACTGTTCCAGTGCAATGCTCATAAAACTACCTTTGAGGCCTGGGGTTTGCTCAGCTTACCTGAGCAAGCTCAGCTAGTCAGTCTCAGCAGAAGTCAGTGCTCTTTTATGTTTATAAAAAGCACTGGGCAGCTGAGGGGTCAGAAGTAGGGGCAGCCTTCTGGAGCTCTGTTTTCAGGAGAGACATGCATGTGTCTGCAAGTTTCTTTCTTGTCAAGCCTAGAGTAAAACCTTTGTTTTTCTAGCACAAGTGTCAAATCTTGCAGTGCCTGATCATTCACTGCCAATTAAAGCAGAAAGATTCTTATCTCAGCGGGAAGTGAGGCTTTTGTTGACTGAGGTCTGGAACAAAATCTTTGCTGTGATTGTAATCTGGAGTTTCATTGACTGTTCTTCCCAAAGGCTTTTGTTGCATTAATGTCTCTTAGGTCACTGATAATTTATAGGACTGTATGTCATCATCTTCCAATTAATGGTAACAAATTGGATGTCTTGTTTCAGGGCTTGCCTCCACATAAGCTTCCAAACTTGCTGAACTGTAACAGGTTAGTTTTTAGTACTGAGAGCAGGTCTTTTAGCATCCTTTGGTGTAACTTGGCTGGTGGGAAGGCCTGGTGAACTGTTGGGTAAAAGAACATGTGTGTGTTTCTTTGGGAGTTTCCTGCATGCAAAACCAGCTCCCTGGAGTTCACAGTCAAAGCAAAATGCCTCTAGACACAGATCTGAGAACAGGATTAGTGCACTAAGCTTTTCACCCTGGTTGGTCTGATACCAGAACCAGTCACTTCAGTAAATCAGCTGTGGTATGAACTGGCCAACAGCCCTTTGCTTGATTTCAGTGGTATTTCAGTAATAGTTTCTACTTCTGTGTGTAAATAGGGAGAACCACAGGGGCCACCTGTGATGTGTGTGCTCTAAAATTACTTCACAAAATAATCCCACCTGGGTTTCACAGCGAATTCTTGTACTGTTCTCCCAGATGTCCTTGGTTCCTCACGTGGCAGGAAGGAGAGCTCGGAGTGGCTGTTTGATCGCAGAGGATTGCACTGGTCCTGTTTCAGGGCTTGATTAACTCCCCAACTGCCTTCCCTTTGACACAGGAAGTGTGGTGAGTCTTTCCAGGGAAGGGAGGCTGTTCTCAGCACCTTCAGCCTTGCACTGGAAAAACTGCTCCCTCGTCTGGCACAGTTATGGCCAAGGTCAAATCTTGTGTGTTCTAGCAGAGGTGCAGAGCATTAGCAGTGCTGTTTGCTGAGTTTGGATGCTAGAGCTGTGTTCTAGTCATCAGATCTCATGATGATTACGTGTCTTGGGCTCTGTAGTGAGTCTGGACAGTAAAAAAAGGCTGATTAAATGTCCCATTCTCCTAACAAAAGTTGCTTTTGGGGGGATGAATTTTGATAACATAAACTACTGTACTTAACATCAGTAGCCATAATCCTGAGACTCTCCTCTGATGGAGGCCTTGGCTGTTGGCATAATAAGAAATGCACATCTTGTGAAAAGGCAAATGTTGAGCCAGAGAGAACTTTTGGTGGTGAATATACATGAAGTTAGGCAGCAGTCCTACCTTTGTGAGCCCCTGGTGTGTTGTCATTGTCTGGTGTCCTGGTGATTTATACCAGCCATCAACTCTCAGTCCTTGGTGTTGGGTTTATTCAGTACAAGTGATCATGGAGCAGCAATGATTGGATTAGGAATGTTTGTGTTTGCACTCACAGCTCCAGGCTGTGTGAAAGGTTTCCTTGGAGTGTTCATGTCCTCTCAGCTTTGTGTGGATGGTGGTTTCTCTAAGTGCAATTACAGTGCAGGGTAATTCTTATCACCGAGTACAGCTGAGGGTCTGAGCAGCTGCACAGAGCAATTCAGTCCCACCACTTGGCAACAGGAATGATGCCCAAAGGTGGAGCTGTTTCCTGATCCCTGGAATAGTCTAGTTTTTCATTGCTTTATGTTTTCTCTTTGCATCTTGATGGAAACAGGTTGGAAAGATGGTCCTTTTGGGATGCTGACATATCAAACTGCATAATCTTCACTTTCTGCTAGAAGAAAGGCCAAAGAAAATGCCTTAAACAGTCTCTCTGTTTATTAGAGGAATGTTGTGCAGGGATCTCTAATAACCTGAAGTATGGCTTAGCTGGATTATCAAGCTTTTAGCTTTCCTGAGGTTTCATTTTGTCGTTGCTGTGGCTGTGCAATGGCATGTCATGGTTTGCTTTGTGCTTCCTCCAGCAGCATGCCCAGCACTGCTCCCCACTGCCCTGCCCTTGCACTGACCCTGACTCGAGTGTGAATTCAAAAAGGGAGTGTAAATCAGGTTATTTTATCTAGATTTCTAAGATGACGTGGCCAGCAAAGCAGTCAGTCGTGTTAAAGGAGAAGTAATGTGTGAGTGCCTGACACTCATGTGCTTCAGGGCTTTTATTCCCCAAAAGTGAGTGCAGAACTTGCCTCACTAGATCATGAACCTTCAGTGAGGGCTCTGTTGCTTTAGGGCTGCAGATGCTGGATGTTAAAGTGTGTCTTGGTGAAACATTGGGGTTTTCTCTTGCATGTCACTCAAGTGACAAACACAGAATGGCACTCAGAGCAGGTTTGCACATACTCTTTAAAAGGAGAAGTGAAATACTTGATGTTTTTATTTCCCTCACAGTGGAAGGTGGGTAAGTAGACCTTTGTGCCAGGATTAGTGCCTTTTAATTACGACATGACAAGTTTTATTCTGTTAAAGGCAACATCTATCATTGTGATAATTTTGAAGTGCTTCAATAAAGTGTTGTTGAAAACCATTTTTTTTTGCATATTCATCTGTAGTAGGACAGCTGCTTTTATTAGAAATATATGTGAAGCCTCGTTATCTAACTGTGGGAAACATTTGGTGGCTTTAACTGCATAACTTCATCTTGAGAGAGTGACCATAAGCCTCCTGCTCCATGGGGGCAACTTTGAGAGGTCAGTCTGTGAAATTCCTATTTCTGATTATTTTTGCTTTAAGTGCTGGAAGCATTTGTTGGTCTCGTTTGTGTTTCTCTCTGAAAAGACCCACAGGGTTGAAGTTCCTGAACTATCATTTAACAAACAAAGCAAATATGTGAGTAGAGAAAGATAAAAGTTGTGGTGTGTGAGACTTAAAAGATAAGGTTGGTTTTCACAAGAGTCTCAGTGGAGTAAACTGGTAAGTTGCTTGTGTGTATTAACTTGGAGTGTGGACACTTGGCAAGGATGAGTAGTTTTCCTCGATTTTTAGAGTCAATAATGGATGTGAATAACATTTTGAAAGATCCATGAATTCCACGGATTGAGGAAAGGAGCTGCAAGAGCAGCTTCCTCAGTGGTGCTCCAGCCCCTCCCTGGACACGCTGCAGCCCCTCAGTGTGTGTCCTGTCTGAGGGCCCAGCCCTGGAGGTGCCTCAGCCGTGCCGGGGCAGGGGGCTGTGCCACACCAGGGCCAGGACAGCCCGGGGCCATCGGCCTCGTGTCCAGCCACTGCACCCACAGGGCCTTCCCAGCCCCCTGCCCCGGCCTGGGCCGCCGGGGGGTTCGGGACCCAGCACTTGGGTCTGGGACGTTGTGTTTGTCTGGGGACACTTGTCTGGGGCAGCCGTGCCGGCCCTGTGCCCCCGCCGTGCCCCCGCCCTGCCCTCGCTCCCAGGCGGAGCCGCCGCCGACCCGGGCCGTGCCACGACAGCCCTGCACCCGCCCCGCCCCTTTAACCGCGCCCGGCACCGCCCTTGATTGACGCGCCTCTCGCCCAATCGCCGGCGGCCCCTCCCACCTCCGCGCTGTCTCCACCAATAGCGGCGCGGCGGGGCGGGCCTTTCACGGCTCACCGCCCGCGTTTCCCTTCCGCTCTTAAAGGGGCCGCGGCGGCGCGCGGGCGGTGCCGTTGCGCCATGCGCGGGCGGCCATGCGATGGCGGTCGGTGGTGCTGGGGCTGCTGCTGGCGCGGCTCGGGCTGCAGGCGCTGCTGGCGCTGCTCCCCGCGCTGGCCCGCGGGCTGGGCCTGCACCCCCGCCCGCCCTGCCCCGGGC